TGTAATACTTATTAAGGTTAGATTAACTCGGGTGATTTTTGAATTTTAAGATATCGAGGGAATTGTTTTCTTGGACGCAAGTGGAGAGTACATATCTATAGTAATTATCAACAGCAGATTAATTGATGTTATTTGTAGTAATTGTTAGGATTAAATTTTTTAAATTTTGATGATAATTATCGAGGATTTTGAATTGTCAGTAGTAAATGTGAGAGTATATTAGGTTATTGTTTCATATAATGGACAAGATTATTGGAATCACTAGATTTTGAAATATCAACTAGGTTATTGTGACTACGTCTACAGTAATCGTTGGAGATAGTTTCTACGATCCTTCGATTTTATATTTTCTGTGACGTAATAATAATTACAAATTATTAGATTATTTTTATTTCTTAGGAATTCAATTGAATTTGAGATTTTTAATATCTTTCACTTTCTCAAATCAAAGAAATGTTTTCTCTTTAATTAGACTTGTACCCCGAGGAAGATCAAAAAATCCTCCAAACTCACTTCCTCTTGCCTGAAATTCACAGCCTAACACACACACACACACACACACACAAATACTCACACAATAGTTACGAATAATAATCGAAATAATCAACGAGATAAATAAATTTTACTTCGTTAAAACAAAAGTGAAGTCGATTGATTTAATCTCGCGTGTCGATAAGTTCGCGACAAGATAGGAAAATTGATGACGAAGATAGAAAAATTGACGAAACGAGAGGCACAAAGCAGTAAGTGGTCATCGTCGAGGACGGAGAAGAGTGCCGCGTGCACGCGGCCTAACGAGCTTTTAATCGGCCGATCGTTAGGTCGTTAGCCGGGCAAACGTTAGCGATTAATTGCGAGACTCGGAGCTCGGAACTTAGAGGCTAGTAAGTAAGTAATTGTTTGGTTGGCGTTACGTACAGTACTTACAAAGCCGTGCTTGTCGCTGATGTTGTTAGTGAGTTTGAGCTTGTGGAAGCTCACGACCTTCTGCATCCATTGCTCACCGCTGCTCGGCGAGTCCGGATGGATGTACATCCTCTTCGGCATTTCCGGGTCGGCCTTCCCCGCCACCATCCACCTGCTACTCGGCAAACACCAACGAAATCACTCGTTAGACACTCGTAACGTGTATTATAAAATTTATTAATTTGCTAGAAACTCGTGGCTTGATTTATAAAATTTCATCAAATCCTGCGGATCGATTGTAACATTTTTCTCGCCATTCGATAAACATTATCGAAATTATAATGTTAAAAATTTATAATGTACATCGTGGGATTCCTTTTGTTTGCTGTAATGTAGTCGGAGAATTTCCTTTGCTCATCAACAGACATAATCGAAATCGAGAGTCATTTCAATTGTAAAAATCTCTTTTGCTATACTCGAGCAACGTGATAAAAAAGTCATAAAAAATTGACAGTATGTTTTCGATTATAAAAATCCACCAGTAGAGACCAGATAATTGGAATTTCGGTTTCGTTAAATTTCAGGAAACTACAGGATCCAGACGAAAATGTTGAATTTTTGGAATTTCTTTCTTTCACAGCTGCGCCCTCGATGATTAAAAGGCGATTAAAAGAGTTTGATGATACAAATCGGCTAGATTAACACGTGGAAATTAGGCGTGGTCTCGCAACTGGGGTTGAACTGGGAAAAAATCAAGGAACGAACGAGGCGAGGATGACGTGACGGATCGCCGACGATGACTCGAGATTGTTGAATTGCGAAGGTAGAGAGGTGTCGATAGCGCGAGTTTCTCGGTCTGATTGTTGTCTTTTAAGGGAGGCGTGTCCGGTCGTTGGGATCGGTCGCAGGTGGGTCAAAACGAGCGAACGAAGAAGAACTCGTCGAACGAGTTCCAAAGTGGCTGCGGTTGCCAGCGTGATGTAATCGTTCATTGTGGTCTGCCTTTCGATTGGGCCGACTGTCCACTTCTCTTCGCGCCAACTTCTCGCTAAGACGCTAGAACTGATTTCATATCTCGGGGAATCAAGACTCGTAGAACGTGCCTCGATATCAAAATAACTGGACTGCTCTGGAGTTTTTCGAAAAGCTCGAGGGTAGAAAGAGTTAGATTTCAGTTGGGTTACGTGCGAGAACAAAAGATGGTATTTTGTACAAATTCAGAAATTGATACACAGTATGGAAAATAAAATGGAACAAAACAAAGCAGTGTTTTCTGACGAAATTTCCTGAAACTCGCAGTGGGTATTTAAGGGATTAATTAAATATCTAAAATAGAGTGTACATTAAAATCCTTATAATTACACCCTCGACAATACAATATAGTTCTAGTTTCCACGTGGCTCAATTGTCACT